CAAGCCCACCACTGCAGCCCGCACCACAGGCGGTCTCGTTTCATACCTAGGTAGTTTCTGCTTTCTCCTCCACTAGACTATACGCTCCTTGAGGGCAGAGACTGTTTTATCGACTTTTTTGTCCTTGGCCGTGCCTGGCACATGGTAGAAGCTCCTTAACCTCCCGTATCAGTACATGATTTAAAGCACTTTCACGTGCATTTAGTGGTTGCTACCAGCCCTGCATGTAAGGTAATTTTATCCCAACTTATTGATGAGGAAAGTTGATAAGAAAACTTGATGAGGAAGTTCAGAGAGGTTAAATATCTTGTCCAGGGTGCCAAGTAAGTAAATGGTAGAGCTGGATTTAAACTCAGGTGGCTGGTATTTTAAGTCAGAACACCCTTGCCTCATCTTTTTTTTGGGGGGGGGTGTAGAGGGAGGTTTTAGCCTTAGGGCGTGTGCTCTATGGGGTAGACAGAGACAGTGAGAAGGAATGTGAGAAATCACGCCCCAAGGGAGTGGCCATGCTGCAATCCTTTCTTCTCCCAAGAGTGTGGGTATGCACACGCACCTGGTGTGATTTTCAAGCCACCGGGTCTGGGACTTGAACCAGGGTCTGGGACTCGAACCACGGCCTGCCATGTGGGAGTCCAGCAATGTTACCATGATGCCATCTGCTGGTCCCAGCTCTGGCCTATCTTAACTCATCCAAAACAGCTTGTGGTTGAAAGGAATGAGGTGGAGGTGATGAATGGAAGCTTGTGAAAGGGGAGGAGACTATGTGGAGAAAGAAGATGCAGGTGGTGAGCAGCAACTTGGGAGCTAATTTAGGAAGACCTGAGGGTGGGTGGGGATACTTACCTGGCGGGGGAGATACCATGATCACGAAGGTGGTTTTCTCAGGGCAAGGCTTTTCCATTGCTCTCCAAATGTGCTGACCCCTGCAATTTCCCCACATGTGGGAAACTCAACTGCATAATTTGTGGTAGTGTGGGGCAGCATTCACACTTTCCCCTGTCTCAAAAAAGAAAAAAAAAAAAAAAAAAAGAAAAGAAAAAAAAATAGTGGGAGGGAGAGGAAGGGAATTTGGGGTTCTGAATAGAGAAATGGTAGTTGCAAGGAAGGATGGCAAGTCCAGAACCTGAGGTTGTATTTAAAATGTGACATGAGAGCAGGTTACAGGGGCTGGCAGGTGGCGTGGTGGTTAAGGGCACTGGACTTCCACATGGCTGACTGTGGTTTGAATCCCAGATCTGGAGGCTTGCTTTTTCACTTTCTCTCTCTCACTTTCTCTCTCTCTCACTCTGTCCCTCTCTAGTCAAATTTAAATAAATAAAGTTAAATAAAATAATTCTTAAAAAAAAAAAAAAAAGAGCAGGTTATATAACAGACCAACCTGACCAGAGATGGAATCCTAATCCATTCCTTGTAAGATTTTTTTTTTTTTAATTTGTCAGAGGGCATATGTGCTTTGCCAGAGAGAGACTGGGAGAGGAAGAAAGCACCTCCCTGAAGGGGCTTCATTTTCCCAGTCTGTCAGGATTTGGGGCATACATACATGCACACATGCCCAGTCTGTTTTTCAAGCCACTGGAGCCAGATTTTGAACTATCTGGTTCAGCTATGTGGCATTCAGCTCTCCAGAACATCTTGCAAGGGATTCTTGACCTTGGCACTGTTGAGATTTTTGTTTTAGAGACTGTCCTGTGCAATGCAGGAGGTTGAGATGAACCCCTGGCTTCTACTCACGAGATGTAGTAGCACCTGTCCTTTAGTTGTGACAATTAAAATGTCCCTCAATATTAACAAATGTATCCCCCTCCACCCTCGAGGAACACTGACTTACCACTGGATTGTTTAGAAAGTCATGACGAATTTTAGCGTAGAAAAACATAGACACAGATATCATGACTTTCCCGAAGACCTAATATGTAACCACAGATTGGTCACTTACTTTACTAATCTCTAAAGTGGGGCCAAGGAGCTGGCAGGTGGCATGGTGGTTAAGGGTTCTGGACTCCCACAGGGCCAACCATGGTTCAAGTCCTGGACCTGGCTGCTTATATTCCCGCTTTCCCTCTCTCTCTTCTCTCTCTCACTCTGTCCCTGTCTGGTCAAATTAAAATAAATAAATAGGGACCAGCAGTTGGCATAATGGCTGTGTCGCTGGACTCCCATGTAGTCAGCCACGGTTCAAGTCCCGGACCTGGTGGCTTAAACTCATGCTGGGCATGTGTGTGTGTGTGTGTGTGTGTGTGTGCCCAAGATCCCAAGAGGAGAATGGAGGAGAAGGGATTGCAGCATGTCCATCCCTTCTGGGGAGTGATTGCTCTTTTTCTGTCTCTCTGTCTTTCTCTGTCTTCCTGGCAAGAGCACGTGCCCTGTAGGAAAAAAAAAAAATCCTCTCAAAAAAACAAATAGAATCAAATAAAAAAATACTATGAGGGACCAGCAGTTGGCATAATGGCTATGTCACTGGACTCCTATGTAGTTGACTGTGGTTCAAGTCCCAGACCTGGTGGCTTAAACTCATGCTGGGCATGTGTGTGTGTGTGTCCCCAAGATCCCAAGAGGAGAATGGAGGAGAAGGGATTGCAGCATGTCCATCCCTTCTGGGGAGTGATTGCTCTTTTTCTGTCTCTCTGTCTTTCTGGTGAGCACAAGCCCCCTATAGCAAAAACCTCTCAAGAAAAAAATTATTTGAAAAAAGTAAAAACTAAAAATGGGGCTGATAAGGCCTGTATCACAAGGTTATTGGGAGAATTTAGTGATGAAAATTCAAGGAGATTCCAGTTAATGAACACATTTAAAAAATTTTAAAAATGTGGATTCCTGGGGCCAGGTGATAGTGCAGTGGTGTTGCAACTGGACCCACATGGGAAAGGTCCTGGGTTTACATTCTGGGACCTTCCTGGACATGCCAACTGAGACTGGAGGTGGATGCTGGCAGGAAGGCCCTGTTAGGGTACCTGTCTCTGACTCTCTCTCTCCCTTTCATGAAATAAATAAAAATAAACAACAAAAATTACCAAAAAATTAAAATGTTGGTTTCCTTCCTCCCATATCCTGGAGGCCCCATGAAGATGGGCAGATGGTCTTTGAGGGGGGAAGTTTCTTAAACTGTTCCACCCCCTCCCAATTCCAGGTGGCTCTGGGCTTGGTCTGTGAAGCAGATTACCAGCCAGTGGCCCGTGCAGTGCGTGAACGGGTTGCCGCCATCCAGCGAAAGCGTGAGAAGCTACGCAAAGCTAGGGAGTTGGAGGCCCTCCCACCAGAACCAGGACCTCCACCAGCAACTGTCCCCATGGTTTCTGGACCCCGCAGTGTCTTCCCTCCTGAGCCTGAAGAACCAGAGGCAGACCAGCACCAGCCCTTCCTCTTCCGCCATGCCAGCTATTCCTCTACCACCTGTAAGTCATCCCCTTCCTTGGGACCCCGGCCAGAGCCCTTGACCTCTGCCTCCCACCCAGAAGCTTAACCCAGCAGCACTGTCACTGATCCCACCATGCACCTCTAGCCACGAAACTCCCTGTGGGCAAGAAATCCCCTGTAACTCCAAGCCCCTCCTCACTCTGGTGGGCTCTTCATCTGCCTCCACTCCCCTTTATTTCCCCTTTTTGATCCCCTCCCTCCCCCACCAGCGGATTGCGAGACTGATGGCTACCTCAGCTCCTCCGGCTTCCTGGATGCCTCAGACCCTGCCCTTCAGCCCCCTGGGGGGGTGCCATCCAGCCCCGCTGAGTCCCATCTCCGCCTGCCCTCGGTGAGAGGGGGTCACATGGGGGGCTCCCAGCCATTCCCTCCTTGTGAAACCTAGTCCCGTGACCTGGCCCCATGTCCCCAGACATCCACCACTCTTGTCCTCATCTTCCCCAATTCCATCTCCCTCCCAGCATCCTTCACACCATCTCCCTGGATCCCAGGAGTTATCCTGCCCTGACCTCATGAGCCTTTGTCCTGTTTCAGGCTTTTTCCCTATCCATTCCACGTTCTGGCCCTGGCAGTGACTTTTCCCCTGGGGACAGGTATGTTCTGGTGTGAGGTGGGGTTCCAGGGTGAGACATATGGAATTCCAGGGTCCCAGTGTCCACTCCGTCACTCTTGTCTCCTTTGCCTTTTCCAGCTATGCCTCAGATGCAGCATCAGGCCTCAGCGATGTGGGAGAAGGGATGGGACGGATGAGGAAACCACCAGGGAAGAATCTCCGGCGCAGACCCCGGTCCCGACTGCGGGTCACTAGTGTAAGGAAGTGGAACGGCGGATGGAGGATACCCTACAGGGCCAAAAGGGAATGGGGGAGGTCAGCCAGAAAAGGGGAGTAGCGGTGTGTGGCTGGCTTCTAAGAGGCAGTCAGTTTAGTTTCTAATACCAGACTTTGGGGGTGGAGTCTACTCTCTCCCAATGCAGGTTGGCCATTGTCACTTGACCGCAGTAGGGTGGGGACACATGATAAGGACAGAGGTCTTGATCTCCTCCCTTATACTGACTTTCAATCTGAAGGTCTCAGACCAGAATGACAGAGTGGTTGAGTGCCAGCTACAGACCCACAACAGCAAGATGGTGACTTTCCGGTTTGATCTGGATGGAGACAGCCCAGAGGAGATTGCAGCTGCCATGGTGAGGGGGAGAGAGACGAGGCGAGTGTATTGGATCCTAGACAAAAGTCTCTCTCTAAATGTCCACTGGTGTTAAAACCCCTGTCAGTAGCAGAGGTTTTGAAAGCACAGGCTGGTTCTCAGCAGAGTGACCATGATGACGTCTCAGCTCTTGTTTGGCGGGAGATTTCTGTTTATCTAGGAAGACTGACTTTTTCACCTGGAGCAATTTGAGACTAATGTAGGTCAAGGATACACAAGTGTTACATGTGAAGTGCATGCCAGACATGTGATACTGTGTCTGTAAGTAATGAATGGCTTGGGGACAGCAGGGACTAACCCAAGGTCTGGGCAGATGGGTAAGGGGGGCAGTGAAAGGTGGGAAGGGCATGTCTAGCTGGGGGAATGGCATGAGCAAAGGCATTCCTAGTAGGGAGTCACTTGGAATATGGGGCTGAGAGGGCTGCATGAGGAAACCACTAGATTGGAGGTAAGAGTTTCTACTTGAGAATTATGGGAAGTGAGGGTGGGCAGGTAGAGTGGGCCCAGGATATAGATGGTTTTAATAGTTAGGCAGAGAGAGGGGCCTGCAAGTGGCACTGTGATTAAGGGTACTGGGCTCCCACATGGTCACCACAATTCGAGTCCTGGACCTGACGGCTTGCTTTCTCTCTCTCTCTCTCTTACTCTGTCCTTCTCTTGTCAAATAAATAAATAAATAAAGTTAAATAAAATAATTCTTTGAAAAGGAAGAGTTAGGCAGAGTGTAAAATGAGGAATATACATTTTTTTCTTTTAAAATTTGTCATAGGTTTCATGCACATGCCAGAGAGAGACACAGAGAGAGAAGGAGGGGAGAAAGCACCCCATGGTCATGCCACAATTCCTTCTCCATGAGATTTTGAGCATTCATGTGTCTCTCAAACTGCCAGGTCTGGGACTCGAACTGCCTGATCAGCTATGTGGGATCCAGCTTCCTTAACCACTAAGCCATGGTCTTACCCAAGAATACATGTTGTGAAGACCATTTTGCCATGGAATATGGAGGGGGTTGAGAGTAGGGAATCTAGTTAGGAGACGGACACAAGAAGCCAATGTGGAAAAAGGAGAGATTATGGGAAGGAGGAAAAGAAGGGGTAAGTCTGAGGGTTGTTTCAGGAAAATAAGTTACTCTGTAATCCAGTAACCTATTGACGTAGTACAATACACAAAATGGATGCTCAGTAAATATTTGCTGAGTGGATATGATAGGGATTAGGGAGAGGGGATATCAAGGTCAATTTGTAGCTTAGGGAACTAAGAGGAGTAGGCCACCAGAGGAGAGAGAAATTTGGAAGTGAAAGTAGTGTTTTTAGGGGTTGTGATGAGCGTGAGTGAAGGAGAGACAGCTAAGACAAGATCTCTATAGCAGAGGGTCAGGTAGGCCTGGAGAAAAATGGATTTAGGAGTGGTCAATACCGAATTTGGGAGCATAGAATTGAGAGCGAAGGGAGATAGGCCTGCAAAGCAGAGACATAGAGGGTCAGAGTGTGTCTCAATACATGCAACCAATTCTAAAACAGGAAGGGGGGATATGGGTCAATGAAGGACACAGAGATTGACCTAAAGAAGTAGGAGGATATTATTAAAAATTAAGTGAGGAGCCAGCAGTGGCATGGTGGTTAAGACACTGAACTCCCATATGATTGACTGCAGTTTGAGCCCCGAACCTGTCAGCTTGAAACTCACGCTGAGCACATGTGCGTGCATGCCCAAAATCCCGAGAGGAGAATGGAGGAAAAGGGATTGCGGCATAGCCATCCCCCCTGGGGTGGGGGGCAGTGCACGAGCCCTGTAGCAAAAACCTCTTAAAAAAAAAAACCAAAACACTAAGTGAGGGGAGTCAGCCAGTGGCATAATGGTTAAGGCAGCTGGATCCCATGTGGCCAACTGCATAGTTTTAATCCTAGACCCAGAGGCTTGAAAAACATGCTGGGCTGAGCCAATAGGTAGCATGGAGATTAAGGCAGCTGGATTCCACATGGCCAACTCTGTGGTTAAAGTCCCAGATCTGGCAACTTAAAAAACACGTCAGGCGCTTGAGCAGGCATGCATTCCCAAAATCCCCAGAGGAAAATGGAGGAGTAGGGATTGTGACGTGGCCATCCCCTCTGGGGAGTGATTTCTCCCTTTTCCTCTGTTTCTCTCCAGTAAGCATCCATGCCCTATGGTAAAATAAATAAATAAATAATAAATTAACAAACTGAGGAGAGAGTTTCAAGGAGGTGGTAAGCCAGAGGCAAGACCACATTGGCTTCTGTAAGGCAAGTCTGTGGGAGGCCAGTACCAGTGGAGTGGGGGCGGTGGATGCCAGCCTCTGGGGTGAAGGAGGGGAAGGAAGGGGGAAAACGTCAGGCTTCAGGAACTCTGCCTACAGCATCTTCTTCACCCTGTCATTTACCTGGTATTCAGGGAACAATCAACCATGGAAGTATCACCTAGTACTTGAGACTTACTGCCTTCGCCTTCGGTGAGCCACTTGACCCTTCCAGTGTCTTTTCTGCAGCCACAATGGTTTCTGAATGGTTCTCTGAAAGGCCTGGCTACCTTTCTGCCTCTGCCTCCCTCTGCTCAGGGTCTCTTGCCATGAGAACCTTTTCTGCTTGGCTTGCAGGTCCACTCAGATCCCACCCAGCCAAAGTGACCCTGCCCAGGGTGCTTTCCCCTTTTTTCTCCTGACCAGTCCATTTTTCACTCCTCTGTGGTAGTATTCTCCTGAGACTTGATCTGATTTTGTTGCTTTTCACCCTAGAATCTTTTTATTGTTTTTTGGAGAGGTTTTCACTATAGGGCGCATGCGCTCGCCAGACAGAGACATAGAGACAGAAAGCGAGAAATCACCCCCCAGGGGGGATGGTCACGCTGCAATCCCTTCTTCTCTATTCTCCTCGGGATCTTGGGCATACACGCACACGCGCCCGGCGTGAGTTTTAAGCCACCGGGTCTGGGACGCGAACCTCGGTCGACTATGTGGGAGTACAGCGACATAGCCATTACACTAACTGCTGGTTCCCCACCCTAAAATCTTTAGTGGCTGCTTGTGGCTGTAGAGTAAGGTCTAAATTCTGAAGCATGGTCTTTAAAATTTACAGCACACTCAGCCCTACTGTAGTCCTTACTAGTTTAAGAACATGGCATGCCTTTCATGCCTCAAAGCTATCACGCTTTTCTCTACGCCTAAACTTCTCTTCTTTTTCCTGATGACCAGCATGGACTAGAGGAAAGCGTGGGCTTTCAGCTAAGAAAGCCCAGTTCATGTTTCAGCTCTGTATTTACTAATTCAGTGAACTTGGGAACGTTTCTTTTTCTTTTTTTTAATAATTATGTATTTAATTTTATTTATTCATTCATTTATCTTATTCTGACCAGAGAGAGAGAGAGAGAGAGAGAGAGAGAGGGAGGGAGGGAAAGTGAGAAAGCAAGCTGCCCGGTCCAGTACTTGAACTGTGGTCAGCCATGTGGTAGTGTCCAGTGCCTTAATCATCACGCCACCTGCTGAGCTCCCGGGGACGTTTCTTAACCTCTCTGAAACTCAGTTGCTCATCAGTAAAATGCAGGTGATGGAACTTACTTTGCAGAGATGTTCTGATACACAATGATATAATGTATGAGAAACACCCAAAGTAGGTCCTCAAAAGAGTTGCTTTCCTAATTCTTTTTTTAACTTTTTTTTTTCTTTCCTAATTCTTCAAGGTTCTGTTCCAAAGACTCATTCAATGAAGCCATCCCAGCTTCTTCCCATCCCCAGGGTGGTATGTCCTGCTCCACTCAGAATAGCATGTTTTTTTTTTTTTTTTAAGAGAGGTTTTTGCTATAGGGCGCATGCGCTCGCTGGAGAGAGACAGAGACAGAAAGTGAGAAATCACCCCCCAAGGAGATGGCCACACCATAATTCCTTTTCCTCTTTTCTCCTCTTGGGATCCTGAGCACAAATGCACACAACCCGGCCTGAGTTTGAAACCACCAGGTCTGAGACTCAAACCGCAGTCAACTACATGGGAGTCCAGTGACATAACCATTACACCATAGCATGTTTTTTTTAAGTTGTGGTTAAAAAAAAAAAACAAAAACATAATATAAGATTTGCCATCTTAATAGTTTTTTAAAGAATTATTTTATTTAGGGACTGGCAAGTGGCATGGTGGTTAAAGGCTCTGGACTCCCACATGGCTGACCACAGTTCAAGTCTCAGACCTGGTAGCTTGCTTTCTCACTTCCCCTCTCTCTCTCTCTCTGGTCAAACTGAAAAATAATAATGATAATAACAATAAATAAAGTTAAATAAAATAATTCTAAAAAAAATATTTAGATTAAAAAAAGAATTATTTTATTTAATTTTATTTCTGTATTTATTTTCATTTGAGCAGAGAGGGGCAGAGTGAGAGTAAGAGTGAGAGAAAGAGAGAGAGAGAGAGAGAAAGAGAGAGAGAAAGTGAGAAAGCAAGCCACCAGGTTCGAGACTTGAACTGCGGTCGGCCATGTGGGAATTCAGTGTCCTTAACCACCACACCACCTGCTGGCCCCACCATCTTAATCATTTTTAAGTGTATGGTTCAGTACTGAAGTGTATTTATTTACCTTGTTGTAAAGCAGATCTCCAGAACTTTTTCATTTTGCAGATCTGGAACTGTGTCCCCATTCAACCAGTCCTCCTCACCCTCTGCGCCCCCAACCTCGCCCATCTGCACCTTCCCTGTCATGACTTGAGCTCTGTATCTGTGCCTCCTCCACTGGGCTTTGAGCTTTGTCAACACTAGGACCTTATTTTACGTATCTCTGTATTCACTATGGTACCTAGCACTACGCATGGTACATAGTAGATGCTCAATAAGCGTGCATGGATTTGGATGTGACCTTTACCGTTTACTGTCTTATTTTTACTTAACTTTGTGGGGTGTAGGTATATGTGGACCTGTGTGGTATATTTTATAAACTCTGTAAGGACAGGAAGTATGTCTAAAAACATTGAGGCAACAGTGGAATAAAACTCAGACTCTGGCTGTAGGTAGACCTGGGTTCAAGTCCTGTGACCCTGAGCAGAACCTCTCTGAGCATTGGTTACTTAACTCTAAAATGGGGGTGCTAATTCAGACAGATGTTACCCCAGAAAGCCGGTGGTGTTAAATGTGATAATAGATGTAAGGCACCGAGTATGGCCTTCATCTGCTGAATGAATCAGAGGTCAGGAGCACAGGGAGAAGGATGAGTGAGATAACTGAGCTCTCCTCCAATCCTGCTGTCCCTCACCAGGTGTATAATGAGTTCATTCTGCCTTCGGAAAGAGATGGATTCCTGAGCCGGATTCGGGAGATTATCCAGCGAGTGGAGACCCTGTTGAAGAGAGACACTGGCCCCGTGGAGGCTGCTGAAGATGCCTTAGGCCCCCAGGTCAGGCCTCTCTGGACATCTCCAGGGAGAGTGGACTCTGCTTCAGGGCTCATTACTCTCTGCCCTCAACAGGCTCCTTCCACTCCTCTTCATCTCTGGGACTCTCAACAGTGGCTCTTAGCCTGCTTGAGAATGATAAAAACCATGGACTGTGGTCTTAGAAAAATGTGTTCAATACATACTTTTCTTCTACTTCATCATATTGAAATTAAACCAGACTGGGACTAGCAGATGGCATAATGGTTATGTCAGTGGACTCCCATGTAGTTGACCGTGGTTCGAGTCCTGGACCAGTGGCCTGAAACTCACACTGGGCGTGTGTGTATGTGTGCTCAAAATCCCAAGAGGAGACTAGAGGAGAAGGGATTGTGGCATTGCCATCTCCCCTGGGGGTGTGTGTGATTTTTCTCCCTTTCTGTCTCTCTCTGTCTCTCTCGCGAGCGCATGTGCCCTATAACATAAATCTCTCAACACCGAAAAAAAAAAAAAAAAAAGGAAGAAGAAAAGAAATTAAACCAGACTTACGGAGAGAAGTTACAAGAATTCAGGACCAGCAGTTGGCATAATGGCTATGTCACTGGACTCCCATGTAGTCGACTGTGGTTCGAGTCCTGGACCCAGTGGCTTAAACTCACGCCGGGCGCCTGTGCATGCGTGCCCAAGATCCCAAGAGGAGAACAGAGGAGAAAGGATTGCTGTGTGGCCATCGCCCCGAGGGATGATTTCTTGCTTTGTCTCTCTCTTTCTGGCGAGCACACATACCCTATAGTGAAAAAAACTACCTCCCCCCCAAAAAAGATTTATACAGACTTTCTGAATACTCTTTGCTCAAATTTGCCAGTTGGTGTTTTGCCACATTGGTTTATCATTCATCTTCTCTATCTGTTCTCTACACGTATATATACATATTGCTTTCTGAAGCACTGAGAATAAAATGTGTGCACCATTTCTTTCACCCCTTAAAACTCCTATATGGGAGCCAGCAGGTGGCATAGTGGTTAAGGTTCTGGACGCCCACATGGCCAACTGTGGTTTGAGTCCTGGACCTGGCAGCTAGAAACTCACACTAGGCACGTGTACATTCATGCCCAAAATCCCGAGAAGGGAATGGAGAAGAAATTGTGGCATGGCCGCCAGGGGGTGATTTCTGCTCTGTCTCTCCATCTCTCTGGTGAACACACACATCCCATAGCAAAAACAAACAAACAAGCAAAACAACCCTCCTATACAGACTCCTAGGGGTTCACAGGTTCTAGCTTAAGCACCCCAGTCTGAAACCATCTAAGACAGCTCTTCCCCACTGTGACTGAGGGTCCCTCTCTTCCTCAGGAGGAGCCAGCACCATTGCCTTCCCTCCCGGACCCCCTTCCAGACCCATCCAGTGGTACGTACTGAGTTCTGTCCCTGCTCATCCCACCTCTTGGGGGTTGCTCGTGGGAAGGACACAGAGCGTGGGAGAGTGGACTCCCAACACATCCTCCTCCCCAGCAGAGCTCCAGAGCAGCACCTCCCTGGAGCAGAGGAGCTGGGCAGCCTACTCCACTTCCTCATCTTCTCCTGGAACTCCCCTGTCTCCTGGAAATCCATTTTCCCCTGGAACCCCCATTTTTCCAGGCCCCATTTTCCCCATCACTTCTCCCCCCTGTCACTCCAACCCCTCTCCCTTTTCCCCCATTTCTTCCCAGGTCTCCTCTAGTCCCTCTCCACAGCCTCCCAGCTCGCCACTGCCATTCTCCTCCAGTGCACCACAGTTTCCAGCCCCATCCTCTCAGTTTTCCCAGAGCACTTTTCCTCCCAGTTCCCCATCCCCATTCTCTCCTGGTTGTCCCCAGGTCACTCTTAATTCTCCTTTCTTTCCTCCTTGCCCCTCTCCTCCTCCCCTCCCCTCTCCCCCAGCAGCTCCTTTCCTCTCTTTGGCCAGTGCCTTCTCGTTGGCTGTGATGACTGTGGCCCAGTCCCTGCTGTCCCCCTCACCTGGGCTCCTTTCCCAGTCTCCTCCAGCTCCTCCTGGTCCCCCACCTAGCCTGCCCCCTCCTGCTGTCCTTACTTCTAATGGCCAGGAGACCTCTCCACCCCACACAGCAGAGATGGAGAGTGAGGTGAGTAGGAAGCCAAGAGGGATGGTTGTGGGGCTTCATTCTGGATCATTTCTCTTCTCATGGACCCACACTTTGTAGGCCTCCCCAAGTTCTACTCGGCCACTCCTGGGTGAAGCCAGACTGGCGCCCATCTCTGAAGGTGAGGCCTCTGACCACTGACCTCCTGCCCATTATCCCCAATCCACTTTATCCTACTACTGATTTCTCTTCTTCTCCCCATAATCCCTCCTGGTCTTCCTACAGAGGGAAAGCCCCAGCTTGTTGGGCGTTTCCAAGTGACTTCAACCAAAGAACCAGCTGAGCCTCTTCCCCTGCAACCAACACCTCCAACTCTATCCAGTTCTCTGAAGCCTCCAACCCCTCAGCTGACCTCAGAGAGCTCAGACACAGAGGATAGTGCTGGAGATGGGCCAGAGACCAGGGAGGCTCTGGCAGAGAGTGACCGTGCAGCTGAGGGCCTGGGGACTGCAGTTGAGGAGGAAGGAGATGATGTAAAGGAACCCCGAGTTGGGGGCAGCTCTCCACCCCTGAGTCATCCCAGCCCAGTGTGGATGAACTATTCCTATAGCAGCCTGTGTCTGAGCAGTGAAGAGTCAGAGAGCAGTGGAGAAGATGAGGAGTTCTGGGCTGAGCTGCAGAGTCTTCGGCAGAAGTAAGTCTTAGGAGGATGGAGGAGCAGAGGTGAACTTGGGAGAGCCAAGTGTGTGACTAACCTCTGATGCTCTTGATGTGTCCTCAGGCATTTGTCAGAGGTGGAGGCACTACAGACACTACAGAAAAAGGAAATTGAGGATTTGTACAGCCGGCTTGGGAAGCAGCCCCCACCGGGTATTGTGGCCCCTGCCGCTATGCTGTCCAGTCGCCAACGCCGTCTTTCCAAAGGCAGCTTCCCCACCTCCCGTCGCAACAGTCTGCAGCGTTCTGAGCCACCAGGCTCTGGTGAGACTGCGGTAACCCAGCTTCTGTCTTTTCCTTGAGATCCCTTCCTTACCTACTCAGTTTTCTTCTAGGCCCCCGGGGTCTGCCCCTTGGTTAGGGGTACTAGCCCCCCTTCCCTCACTCAGTGCTCTCCCTCCCCGTCCTGCTCCCAGGCATCATGCGAAGAAACTCCCTGAGTGGCAGCAGTACCGGCTCCCAGGAGCAGCGGGCAAGCAAGGGGGTGACTTTCGCCGGGGATGTTGGCAGGATGGTGAGGGCAGGTCCAAGGGAGGGAGAGCCCAGGGAATGGTAGCTGGCTGCAGCTTCACCTTCCTCCTACCTTGGAGGTTTCTTCAGCACTTTTTTCTTTTCCCTGCAGTGAATTCAGAACAGAAGCCATGTGCCTCTCCCACACCAGGGCCCACCATGGAGCTTGTGCTCTCAGAATTTGATGCTTTTCTGACCAGTACAACTCAGCAAGGAAGACCCCAGCACTGAGGGGGTAGAAGGCCAGGGGGGACATGGAAAGTGTGGCTTCATTATAGTGACAAGCTAAACACGTGGGAACTGTATGCTGTGTGGAAGTATAGCAGGCTATAGAACTTCTATCTTCATCTCCAACCCCTTCCTAGCCAAGGGTCAACCACTAGCAATCCCACCCAAGCCCAGATGCTTCTCGAAGGCCCACCCCCAGTTTGGAGTGTAGGATGTGCTCACACCAGAATTAGCAGCAAATAAAAATGCTGGAAACAAAGACTCTGTGACTTCGTATCTGTCTTGCCTTAGGAGCTGGGGTAAAGCTTGTGAGGTGAGGAGGGGTAAGGATGGTTCTTTCACCATGGCAGGCAGGGGTGGAAGCTGCCCAGCCTTTTGGCTTCCTATTAGGAGTTCATGAGGAAACTGCAAGGTCAGTGATCCACCTGATCAAGCTTAGATCCCCTCCAGGCCCCATCCTAAACCTACATGGGCAGACATCCGTGTAAATGAAGAATAAAGGCTGCTTTCTCTCATCCTTCATCCATTTCTCTCTCAGTCAAGTTAGAGGAATAGCGTGCTCTTGAGGGTAGAGGACAGAAGAGTGACTTTCCTTCTCCTAAGCTGAGGTTCAGTCTTAAAACAACCCAGTGATCTCTCCCCTAAATCAGGTGGAAAGATCTCACGGAAAAAGTAATTCTAGTTAAACATTTACAGCTCCCTGGGGCAATGCCACTGCTGTAGCCACTGCCTGTGGAGCTTTTCAACGCGAAGTGCATGCCATCTCTTGGCCCTCACACACTCACTTGGCTCCAGGAGAGATGACTCAAGTTTATTATTCTCAGCTTGACCTATCTTTCCTACTTTAGGCGCCAACACTGCACAGAGCTGACACACTGCCTCCCCTCCCCCATAATAGTTGTGCCCCTGGGAGGTAAACCATAAGGTTAAAAAATCTGGGGGGGAAAAAAAGAGTCTGGGAAAAGCCAAAGTTGCAAACTCCTCAAACAAGGAAACAAAGTATTAGAAGGGCTCAGTCACTGTACACAGCGAGTGGGAAGTGGGGAATATTCCTTTCACAGTGGTCAAACGTGTAAGTCCCTCACTTCTTGGATTCAATCATGGTCCAAAGTTAGTAAGAAGGCCAGAAATGCGATGCTATGAGCGGGCTTCAATGTCTACAGGATCATGGGCATCATCCACCGTGTGAAGGGGGGCCAGCAGGTTGGAGCCGTGCAATGTCCATCCAAATCAGGGTCCTGATGCCCTTGCCAGAGCTCGGGCTCGGGCAGCTTTGGCCTCATCTTCCAGGTCATCTAGGAAACGCTCTTGGGACACTGAGTAGAAGGTATAACCATCTGAGGTGGTGGGTTCAGGAAACCACGTGGAATATGCACATTCCCTTTCCCTAGACTCGCAGTACCCGCCCTTGTTATTCTCCCAAATAAATTATTCCAACCTCCCACCCTCTGCTTTTTCCAGGCACTGACCCTTAACCCCACCATTACTAATAAACCATATTAAAAAAGCACCTTAGAAATGACAAAGTTTCAACCCCATTTTACCCAAACATTAAACGTCTGGTTCAGTCCTCCTACCTGCTTCTGTTCCCTTGCCCCCCCACATGCGGTCCCCCTGAGTCTACAAATCGGCTGGATACAAATAGCTAGCACCAGGGCCCCGATTCCTAGCCCGGTCACGATGTTCCGGGTCCGACGCTGTGGCAGCGTCTTCTGTCACTGGGCAAGCTGCACCTGCCGCATGAATTGCAGTTGCGCGGGGGTCAGTTTCTCTCGAGTCGGGTCGATGCGCTGAGCGAACGGAGCCTTTCCATTCTTAGCATCCAAAGGGTCACCAGATCCAGGTGCCGCCATGTTGCCACTCCGTACTTCCTAGTCACAGGGCGCGAGGCTCTCTGGGAATTGTAGTTCTTAGTCACCGCAGGGGACGCTGGGAGTAGTATGCCGTGTGTCTTTTTCCCTGGCAGAGCCGCGACTCTAGGCGAGAGGAAAAGGGCGGAGAGACTGGGGTGGCCGTGCTTTCTGATTGGCTGAGGGGTTCGCGAGCGACCGTTGGGGCGGGAAAAAACTGGAGGGCTCGAGGCTGTGGTGCGAACTGGGTTTTCCTCAGATTTGAAGCGAGGGCGAACACATTGGAAGGGCACGAGGGATCGAGGGTGTGGCGAAAGACTGGAGAGAAGCTAAAGGGGCCGGTTTATGGAGCCAGGGAACCGTCTCGGTGCCCCAGAAGGTTTCCGAAGATGGACGGGCCTGCGAAGCTAAGATTGGCCTCCCTCAGCGACTTTCAGTTTGGAGCTGTTTCCACAGAGACGATCGAGGATGCCCTGCTTCATTTGGCCCAGCAGAATGAGCGGGCTGTGCAGGAGGCTGCAGGACGGATGGGCAGTTTCAGGGAGACCCGGATCGTGGGTGTGGCTGCAGGGCGGGGAAGCTGGGTTTATGGAAGCTGGGCCATCTGTCTCTGGGGCACCGACCTTTAGATTCATTCTACTTTAAGTATTCAAATAATTTTTGTTAGTTACCTCCTGTATACCAGGTACTGGAGATATAGTGATGAAAAAGACACACCAGCACCCTGCCCTTGAGTGCTTCAGCATATATGGAGTACTTTTTATTGACACTTCCTGGGATAGGAAGACGAAATAGAGATCTAGTCCTTCTTTTCAAACTACGTGTAATCTTGGGGGGATAGTAGGACAAATATACAAATGACTACAGGGACGAGCAGATAAATGACATAAGAGAGATAAACCAAGTTTTCGTGGGTATCGGAGTGATGCAATTAAGAAGCCTAGTCATCTTGGCGTTAGAGGTAGACCTTGAAGGAAGGATGACGTTTCGATTGGTGAAGAAGGCAGTGTTCCTATTGAAAAGGGATAGCCATAAGGAAGCCAGGGTGTGTGTGTGTATAGTGCAGTCTACCATAACCCAAATATGGGGAATTAAGACCAGAAAGACAATCTGGAGACATTCCATGTGGAAGTTTGAATGGCAAGGGGAAGTTTATATTTGACTTTGTAGGAAAATGTGAAGACATCGAAGGTTTTAAAATAAGGGAGTGCCGTGACTGTAACCTTTACTTTGGTAACATTATTTTGGCTGTCAGTCTACCTTAACCCAAATATGGGGAAGGGTAGTTGGTATTAAGACCAGAAAGACAATCTGGAGACATTCCATGTGGAAGTTTGAATGGCAAGGGGAAGTTTATATTTGACTTTGTAGGAAAATGTGAAGACATCGAAGGTTTTAAAATAAGGGAGTGCCGTGACTGTAACCTTTACTTTGGTAACATTATTTTGGCTGTGATGTAAAAGATGGATCCAACCAGAGAGAGGGAGAGATGGAGAAGTAGGCAGAACAGAGAAATCTGTGTTAGGTGATAGGGCAGAAGGAATAGCAAGGGAAGATGGATTAAAACATTTCAGAGCCAAAATCTAGGGTTCTTCTGTGAATGAATTTAAGTGAAAAAGAAAAAAGATGACTATGCCAAAGTTGGGCTTGGATGATCAGAGGTATAGTAGTGTTGTTAACACACACACGCACACACATTTACACACACACACACTGCAAAAATAAAACAGGAGGAAACATGGCTTTTCTATAGGGAGGGTAATAGCTTTGGTTTTGGATCTACTAAGTTTAGATGCTTGAAGAACATCTAGAGGATGGTTTCTAGTAGGCTGTTTAAAAAGTAGCTCAGAAAAGAGGACAGAACTGGAGCTGAAGTTTCGGGAAGAATCTACATATTGATATTGTTGAAACTGAGGCAGAAAATGAACTCCTAGAATGAGAGAGTAGAAAGGGAATTGGAGTAGAGAAGTTTTGAAGGAAAAAAAAGGAGTGGTTGGGGAGATAGGAATTGAACCAAAGGACTTTTGGAGCCAAGGAGAGAGTTTCAAGGATAATGACCAGCAGTTTCAGATGCTTTAGGGATATCAACAGGAATGAGGATTGAAAAAAAAAAAAAAAGCCCCTGATATTTAACATCTTGGACTTGTTTGTTGACTCCCCAGATAATCATTCCAGCAAGTTGGAAAAGGTAGAAACCAAATTAAATTACAGAAAATTAGGGAGTGAATGAAGTGGGAACAGCAGATGTGTCAGACTTTCAAGAAATTCAAGAGTGATGGAAAAGAGGGAACCAGCAGTTAGCGTAATGGCTATGTCGCTGGATTCCCACGTAGTCGACCGCGGTTCGTGTCCTGGACCCGGTGGCTTAGAACTCACGCCGGGCACGTGTGCGTACCCAAGATCCCGAGAGGAGAATGGAGGAGAAGGGATTGTGGCGTGACCATTCCCCCTGGGGGGTGATTTCTCTGCGCCCTAGAAAAAAAATCTCAAAAAAAAAAAAAAAAAAAAGAGTGATGGAAAAGAGAGAGATGGAGCCCTAGTTTAAGTGGGGAGAAGGAGAGGGTCTTTTAGTCATTAATAGATGTACCTGTTTATAGGTAGATGAGCCAGTAATGAGGGAAAGATGTAACTCTCATCCATTTTGCCTGACCCGAGCTGAGTTTTCTTAGCAACTTAAAATAGAAAGTAAAAACGAATGTCCAGATAATTCAGACCAAAACCAAACCAAACAATTGCATGCATACAGAAAGAGAGAGAACAAAACTAAGAAGTAAAGCCTGATGTCCAGCACATAAAAAGACTGGCTAATAACACGCAATGATATGCTCTCGAGTATTTTGCTGAATTGCTTAAACGAACTCTCTTCTACACTGGTCATTGCTTAGCAGAGCTGTGGTCTCTGTGACAATAAGGTTTTGGACATAGATCTATATGTGATGTGTATCAGGGTAGATTCTTAAACTGTCTTGTGCTAGTTCGACTTTTTTTTATAGTTTTTCCAAGAAAGTCACATTTTCTCTGAAGGCATATGATAACTTGACTCCATGTGCAATTCTTAGCTCATCAATGTGAAAAATTCCTAGGTCTGCAGGCACTTTCTTTGTTGTGAACTGACATTTAACCCTTGTTTCCACCCTCTAATGATATTGCAAACTAAATAGAATTCTATCTGGGGCTGTTCTTTCAAAGAGAAACAGGGATGGGCTAACATCTTGCCAAGGTATCTTGCCCTTCCCATCTTCCCAATTATTCCCTCCCTCCATACTGGGCTATGTTCCCTGGTTTAGGGGATGCTTCTTCAAAACAAGACACTCCACAGTAACAAACTTGTTCCTGGGGAGAGGCTCAGCCACCACAGATTTACCCAACAAACCGATGCAGGAGAAATGATGTCCAGCTGTAAGGTGAATTGTGTTTGTAAAGCAATGGGAGTGCTCCAGAGGGTGGTTACTAAACAAACAGTGTCATAAAGAATATCGAGGCTCCAGGAGGGACTTTCTGTTTCTGCCAACATTCCACTGAAAACAAAATATAGGGGTTAGGATTTTTATCCATCTAAGAATCTTCCTTGAAGCTGGAGGTTCCCAGCATGGAGTGGAGGCCAGCTAGACCAGCTGGTATGTTTGTGTGTAACTGACCAAGCCTTTTATCAGCTGAGACCCACAGGAAGGCTCAAGGGTCACTGAGGGGGCTTGGTAAGCTCTTGTCTTTGGCACTCAGTAAGCCTCCTTTTCATGCCTCTGATCTGCCTATTGGCAGCAAAAGAAACTGAGCTCAGCTTTGGTTGTTTCAATCTCATCTTTCTCACCTCCTGACCCTTTTCCCTTGGCCCATCATGGCTTTTATACAATACCAAGAGTTCACAGAGTGGTTTTGGTTGCATCTTGTGAATTAGGTTCTTCTTTCCTGTTTTGGCAGAGTTTATTTTTCTCCTGTCTGAACAATGGTGTCTGGAGAAATCTGTGAGCTACCAGGCTGTAGAAATCCTAGAAAGGTAAAGCCCTGAGCATGATGCCTTTACAAGCGGTCTCTCTCAGAATGGCTAACTTTCCTAAATCTTTAAGAAAATCCTAGTCTCTCCCTCACCTTGAGGTTTGGTTCTACACTTTCTTTTACTTGCAAATGGAGATTTCACAGCCAGCAACTGATATAAGAGGGGATAAAATGTAGCATAATTTGAAGCACAAATTCCCTTTAGTCTTCCTGAGGGTGGATTGTTCTCTTCTCCCTTCCTTATAGGTTTATGGTTAAGCAGGCAGAGAACATCTGCAGGCAAGCCGCAATCCAGCTGAGAGACAAAGAGAAGACAGAGTTTCAGAACTGGAGGGCTCTGAAAGAGCAACTTTTCAACAAGTTTATCCTCCGTCTTGTGTCCTGTGTTCAGTTGGCCAGCAAGCTTTCTTTCCACTACAATGTAAGGTGGTGGGGTGCTCATGGGCACTGAGCGTTAGAAACCAGCTCATCCAAAGGTGGCTGTGAGAAACCAACTCCCAGGCTAGATGATACTACCCATGTGAAAATTCCAGAGGGTAATTATGCTTCCTAAGCATACCTCCTAGACACACCACGCGTGTGTGAGCGCGCGCGCGCCCGCACACACACACACACACACACACACGCACACACACACAGTCACACAGGCAATTATCAAGTAGCCTGAAGTTCTGTTCCCAAAGTATAATTGCTGGACAGGTGCCATCATTCATACAGGTCACCTTTCCTCCCCTTGGACTCAAGGACAATTTACATAAAGTGTCTAAATTGCCAACATACCTATCAGCTTAAAGGCACACTACTACATTTATAAAACAGCTATTTCCACATCACTACCCGATGTCTGTGCAATGAAATGTCATTCATTCAGCAAATATTTGCTGAGTTTCTTTTGTGGCCAGATGCTGCACAGGGTGGCAGACCTACAGTAGTAAAAACATTATCTGTGCTCTCAAGGAAAGGACATGCAGATAGTGTGGAAAAGTGCTCTGGTTAGCATTGATATTAGAGGGTATGAATATACTTCATTGGCCTTGGAGAGTCAAGAAAGTATAGAGAAAATGTCTTCCTGAAAGGGGCGGGGGTAGGTGGGAGATGTGGATGCTAAGAGAAGAGGAACAGGGAAAGGAAGAGGGAGAAAAGGGAGACCCAGGTATAGGAAACAACACATATAGTGACTTGGAGAGGGAAAGCATAGTGGGTTTGGGAACTGCAAGTAATCATATATGACAAGCAGAGTGTAAGGAGGAATCCTCGAGAGAAGACTAAAGATGAAGGTATGGGTAGATTGTGAAGGGCCGTGTACACTCTGCCAAGTTAATGACCTTTATCCTGACATCTCCCTCTCTTGTTTTCTTTGCTCAGATAATCAGCAACGTTACAGTCTTGAATTTCCTCCAGGCTCTAGGGTATCTTTATACCAAAGAAGAACTGCTGGAGTCAGAACTTGATATTTTGAAGTCTCTGAACTTCCAAATCAATCTGCCCACGCCCCTCGCATATGTGGAGATGCTTCTAGAAGTTTTAGGTACTTTAATATATGAGAAAATGTGTTGGAGACTTCCATAGTAGTAAAAAGTAAAAAGTGTGCACAGAGGTTTTGGGAGTAGTGGGCAGAACCTACAAATGAGGAATAGGAAACCTGATGGTGTCTCTGGATGACTGAGAAAGGTACACCCTCTGGCACTTCCCAGGAAAAGAAGCCCTGAAGTCTTAACAGCTGGTTTCTGTTTGGATTCACTAGGCACTCTCCCATTGAAGGATCAGAATTGATTTTATGGAGAGGCATGAGACAAGGGAAGAACAAATATGTTCTCAATGTATATATACTATACATGGAGGTTTCTCCATTGCTCCCTTTGTCCCTTTGTCCTTTAAAATTGACCTCTAGTGGAATAAGGTTTTTTGTTTATTTGCTTGTTTTTTAAAGGTGTGTGCACTTGCAGGGAAGAGAGACAGAAGGAAAGTGAAAAGCCGCCCCCTGGGGGATGGCCACATGGCAATCCCTTCTCCTCATGGGATTTTGGGTACACGTGCACACACACTCAGCATGTTTTATAAGTTACCAGGTTTAGGACTTAACCATGCAGTTGGCCATGTGGGATCCAGATGCTTTAACCTACATGCTACCTGTTGCCCCCAAACACATTTCTTACACAAAATAGAAACTCGGAAGCATATTAGCAGTTCAACAGTTTTATGTCACAAAATGCCTGTGATTATAATCAAAGAAACCCCTTATGCTCCTTACCATGCCCCTTCTCCATTTAGGATACAATGGCTGTTCAGTCTCAGCTACACAGCTGCATGCAACCTGCTTGACCTTGCTTGACCTGGTCTATCTTCTGCATGAGTCCATATATGAGAGCTTGCTGAGGGCGTCAATTGAGAACTCCACACCTAGTCAGCTACAAGGGTAAGACAACTCCTATAAAGTAGGCCCCTTCCAAGATCAGAGTGGAGACAGACCACAAGAATTTGGGATTGGAATGAAGCTAGTTAGGGCATCCAGTCCATGGCTAAAACCTACACAAGCAACCTGGTTCTCCTTAACTTTTAGTTTGTTGCTTGGATGCAGATGACTGAGTCCAATCAGGAAAACCCTAAAGGCTTTTACTTTTAAATTCAAGCAATTAACATATTTTCTTTCCCACTTCTTTTATAGCTTCTTATAACTTGAGATTACTGGACTGCTTTTATGTCAGGAGAAAAAAGCCAGTCACAGGGTCCCAACTTGGACAAAAGTGTTTGATTACAGTAAAGTCAGGCTGGTCAAATGCTTCACGGTTACATTTGTTAGGGAGACAGATGGAACAACAAAAGGCCGGTCAACTATCCAGGCATGAGGCTCAGATTTTAATCCCAGTTGGGTTGGGGGAAGTTAGGGGAGTGGGTCAATTAGCTACTGACCATTCTTTCCATGTCTAAAACATCCGAGATGATTGGCATAAAAATTCATAGCTGAAGTTCTCTGACCCTAGGATTTGGAAGATCAAGTTTCATTACAGCTCCAATTAATATGGTTTTAATCACTCAGGGAAAAGTTTATTTCAGTGAAGGAAGATTTCATGCTGTTGGCGGTAGGAATCATTGCAGCAAGTGCTTTCATCCAAAACCATGAGTGTTGGAGCCAGGTACGCACCACTGAACAGGACCAGCATGGTTGGAATTCATTTAATAGAAAGCATTTCCCCATCAGTTACAAGGGCAACAGAATTTACAGATGACAAGTATTCAGACACAGGATTAGGATGAGTGAGTAGGACTTGGGGTGGGGGTAAGGGGAACGGCTAGATTAAGAATGAAACATTTCTCCAGTTCTTTTCTTATGAAATTGGAAATGGAGACCCAAGTTCAGCTTGTTTAGTTCCCCTTACAATGACCAGCTATTATGTTAGTCCAAGCATATCCTCCCAGAAAATGTCAAGCCCCACTATCCCCCTTATATTTTATAAAACTTATCTTTAGTAGTCTAGCAGAAAGTTTCCATCCTAACACTGTCAAGGCAAAGGTATCCTGCATAGCTTGGCCATTGGCAAACACTAGAATCTGGATATAATCGTCCTGGTTCAGAGAAATGAAAAACTCGACTTTTGGCTTTAGAGAACATCAATGCATGTGTTTGTGGACCAAAATATTTGAGATTATTTAGTAATAAGAAATTTGTCTCTATTCCTGAAGGTTGTGGGGCATTTGCAGAGCATCACTGGCATTGCTTTGGAGAGCATTGCTGAGTTTTCTTACGCAATCCTGACTCACAGCGTGGGAGCCAAGACTCCAGGGAGACAGCAGCCTGTTCCTCCCCACCTGGCAGCCAGAGCTCCAAGGACGGCTGCTTCCTCCAACACATGAGGCAGGCTGAATCTGCCAAGTATAAACAGCCTTCCTCTCTGCACTCATGCCCCCCTCTGTTTACTTTCATATGCAGGGTATGAAACTTCCAAGCCTCTTTTGAACTCTTATTTTGTACTCCATTCTGATGCTTATTTTTCTGCATCAAGAAAGTGTTAAGGTGGACAATTGTGCATGTCTCTTTTGTTGTAACAAACTGAAAATATCAAAGAGCTGGGAGGAGACAGATTAGTGAATTTATTTTTGTTTAACAAGATTTTTATACTTTTTGTTTTGTTTTGAATTGCCAGAAGGTGCATATGCTTGCCAGAGAGAGAGAGAGAGGGAGGGAGAGGAAGAAAGCACCTGTCAATGGGGCATGATCACACCTCGATCCCTTCTCCATATTCCATCCTGTTGGGATTTGGGGCATGTACCCACATGTGCCCAGTGTGTTTCAAGCTGCTAGGGATGGGATTCAACCACGTGAGATCTGGCTTCCTTAACCATTAGGCTACAGGCCAGCCCTATGGCTTTTCTTTAACTTAAATTCATTACAAGGGAATGTGACATGGAGATTAGTATTAACCAAGGGCTCAAAAACAAGACTGAGTGACCTTGACTGAATATCAATGAGGTTTCCTTTATATCCCCTTATTAGTTTAACATTTCTGTTACTGAGATCTACACATATAAGGCTTCCTCTGCAACCGCCTAGTTTCACAGTCTTTTAAATGAAAACTAACCCATTACTAAACATGTCTCAACAGAATTTCCACTTACTTGCACTTGAACTCAATTCTCCCAGAATACAAATACTCTATTTTAGTGGGGGGAGGGGAAAAAAACCCACCTCACAATGCACCTTTAGGCAGTCATCAGACTGTAGCAAATCTTTTATTACAAATAATTAAATCTCTCCATAATGTCTCAAACAGTATCAAATACCATTTCATATCTCTAACACAGAGCAGAGTAGGCATTCCGTACTACCACATGAGAAGTGTTAAATTTCAAGCTTCTGATCATATCACAAGGTGACCAGGCAAAGCTCAGATGTCATTTTCCCATGTTTTCTAAGTGTGGGTCTCAAACATCTTGCTGTCACCGTGGAGACGAAAGTTTCTATTTTATATTTGTAAATGTAGGAAGTTGAGAGACTCCAGTGAAAACACATCGATCTCAATTCAACTTCATTAAACAAAAAAAAAAAAAAGCAAATTTAAATTAGTTGTTTCAGGAAAGACAGGGAAAAGCCGGCATGAGTTTAAGAGTCCAAACTATGACAAGGGAAGGGCTGGTAACTATACATGGCATGTTATAACTCTACAAACTCTCTGTCATGTGGTATTTTAAAATAAAGTGGCTTTTGTGGATTTTTTTTCTTTTTTGGTATTGTAAACATGTGCTATTTAATATTAACAATATTACCCCAAATTTAATTTAAAACATTTTTCTTTATGCAAACAAAACAAAATTTAAAGCCTTTAAGGCAAACAGCCCCAAAGGAAAAAAATAAAGTTATTTGTTATAAAATTGTGAGGATACCCAAGCAAGACCCCACTTAAGATTTGTCAGCATGAACTTGAGAGCTTTTGTCCACTGTTCCTCAGAGTTAAACTGGGTTTTGATGGAATAGGAACCGCCACTGCCTCCTGTGTCTTCAATCTTGCCTTTCTCCACATCCATCCTGTGAATGGACACAGCACAGCTCATTAGTAACTGAGACCCAAGTCAGTCAGTTCAGGCAAACGGGCAGGGACCTGATCATGGGACCATTCACGTCATTTTATCTGTTAAAGAACCATTGGCGAGGCACGGCAGTGTATTTTGGATTTGCTTGAAAGCCAAAAATCAAGAAGGCTGTCACAAGAGCCTCATTGTCATTGTGGAGTACAGGGACAGGACACACACCCAAACAGATGAGAGGCCTGGAATAGGGGGTGAGTGAGGGTTACAGTACTCCTTACTGTTTTTCTAGGCATCCTTGAGCTCGTGGGGAGAGAAGGGAGCCAGAAGAAAAGAAATGCTTTGTTTTGGGGTGACAGGGGCAGCTCAGCCTTACTCTAGGTAAAAACTAGAGTTTCCATCTATCACTGGCTCCTACAACATCTGACCAAAAGAAGCATTCCTGTATATTTCCAAGGGCTTCAGGGAAACTTTCCTGAAACTGGAGAGCAGGCTTGCGCTGTGCCAGGAAAATCCCCAAAACCATCTAGGAGAACATTTTTTACGCCAGAGACCAGGTGGTCACATTTTGTCCTACTTGCAGGACAAACGTTATGTGATTTTGCAGCATCTTTTGCTTTCCTACCATTTATACTATGTTTTGTCTCCATCCTTACTGTCCCTTCAATTCTATTCAGTTTGGTCCTACCATATGCTCACTCAGCATTAAGGGATACTGACCTGTAAGGAAGACAAAAGCGTGTCTCGCCTTTCTCAACCTCTTCTTTGAACTGCTGTACACAGTCCAGGAAAGCCACCATGGCATGGTCAAACTTGTTATCCCAGAAAAACCGCAATCCCCCAGAACAGTACAATGGCAGCTCCTGCCCAAGAAGAGATAACTGGCTATGGGTGTGGCAGCAAGACAGGCTACCAGAGATCATTCCAGACGATTATCAATCCCTCAAATCACATTCTGCCTATATTCTACTAGAAACAGTACTTTCTAGTACAAAGTACTGGCCAGACTCTTGTCTTCCATCACCTTGGCCAACTGTAATAACCTTGGGCAAAAACCTAACACAACTAGAACTGCTTCACCATCAAGGAAATGTACTCAACGTCTACCTCATAGTGATTCTTTCACACACATCCTCCTCTGAAGAGGAGGCTCTTCATGAAATATCAGTCTAAGAGAGAAAATGAATAATGCCAATATCAAAGCAAACCATCCATTTCATTAGGAAGATAAGAACTTTGTATTCTAGTGAAAATGAAGCTTCCCAGAGTACCTTAGATTTGTCTGTCAGAGATTCCAGATAGGAATGATTTCCATAAGGAACAAGTCGATACCTAAAATGGAGATGCAGATAAAGAAGAATATGGGATTTCTTCTAACATGATTATTGGGAAGTTACAGCCCAATGATTTTTCACTCTTACTCT